TGCCTTCGGGTCTACCTACTATCCTTCAATCGGAGCCAATCAGAGCCTGCGGCGTTCTGAAACGTCATCACAAGTCCTACAAAAGAAGCAGACGAACTTACGTAGCCAGCCAATGAAGAAGCACCAAAACTGCGTCGTCACAACGCTTGGCGTCTTTGTGAGTTCCATATATGCCCGGCTAAATCAGTCAATGCCCAATGATCCCGTGGTTCTTCCTGTGGGAAGCGATCTTGGTGATATCCCACATTTCCTGGTGATAGGGGGAAAAACTAGCTCGGAAGGGCGCGAGGAATAATGTTTGTCTTTTTAGACTTAGGATAGGTGGCGCAAGCTACCGCCCGTCACAAAGGGTATAGGCATTAACATCCGCCCATCCGTCTCCTAGCTACCAGTGGTAGCTAGGAGACGGACAACGACGACGAGCGCCATGACGACGCATTTTTGGCGCTGCGTGACTGGCTCCACGAGATCGTAGCGTAGGCTACGGTCGGACTTGACGTGAAAGGAAGTATAGAAGTGTACTCAATGTACCCTTCGGATATTGAACGAAAAAAAAAAAAAAAAACACGCTTTCCAGCACTTATCACTCAGGCGGAAAATGCCCAGTCACTGGACTTTGGATGCATGAGGGGCGTCTCATTTATTTCGCAGAACAGAGCCACTGCGCATGCTCAAAAGACGTTCCAGCAGCCCAGTAGACAAAGATGGCAACGTCCAGAAGACTATTATCAGAAAAGTCCATACTCGAAATGAGCTTCGAGTGTACTTTTTTTTTTTGTCGTAAAACGGCCAGAAAAAATAAAAAAGGAAGCAGATATTGATGAATGGAGTGAAGCCAGTATGCAGCGAGCGCGTCGCTTTCTTAACCAACTGACGCACAATCTGAAGCCCTAACAGACTTTGGCCTATGAAACCTTCGACAAAGAATGCTGAGATGGCAGTGATTGTACATTCGGTCAAGCTTCGCAGTGCGCTTACATCAGAGCGTGAACCTTGACCGGGGGCTCCTTCATCATCCTCCAAATTCTGATTCTTTTTTCTGGCAGCTACATTTCTGGCTCGTGTGACCTCCAAGCGTCTCTTGATGCCCTCCTCTTGGCCGTTCCAGCTGACTGACTTTGGGCGAAGAAGGCCCCGGCGCGGAAGTGTGACCTTGTAGCGGCTACCGGACCCACCGCAGCTCCGAGGCCCTGGTATTACTCTTGTCCGGTGTCCGCGCTGTCTCCGACAACAAAGAAACGCGCACCATACAGCAGTGTGGGTGCGATTTCTCGTGACCGGTCGAACGGGAGGGTCGTCCGTGCACCAGCCCGTGGTTTACTTCCCCTTATCGACGGCTGCTTAGCATCCCATTCACGTCGTTCCATCGCGCACCAATGATACGTATCTCATATATCTTATTCGCGGGGTGCTTCCGCGGCGTATTACGTGAGAAGGCAGAGAAGAGTTCAAACGTGTTTCTTGTTATTCGTCCGCCATGTACCGTTCTCACAATGCGACCGGATGCGGCAGGGATACGGCAGCGGGTCCTGTGCTCGAAGCAGAACATTACACCCTATTGTACGAACACTCGATTCGAACATTGGACTGAAGTGTTGAACTTGCTGACATTGCAGGTTTAACATTCCGAGCACTGAGCCAGAACACTGAACCCGAGCACTGGAAAACACGAGCTCTAATTTCAGAACTGGAAAAGGAAGCCCAGCTCGTGCTCGGCTAAGTCGTAATGTCATGACGTCACGAGATTTTTTTAGTGCCTTTTGACTAACATCAGCACGTTTTTACTTTTAGTCTGCTTTCTAAGCTTAGTGTTTTCACCACCAAAGGCTGTTATTTTTTTGACCCACTCGCACAAGCTGGTGGGTGATCCTGGCAAGACAGCTTTGGGTTATAACCACTAGGTGACGCTGATTTTCCAAGAGTACCAAGTACAAATGATGTTAGCAATGAGCGTTGCCGTATAAAAAAACAAAACAAAACAGAAAACAAACCTAGTTTTTGCGAGGTCCCGGGCCGTTCACTTTCTGAAAACAGTTAAACTGCAGCTTGCGACTTAGATCACAATAACTGTTACCTCGGATGAGCATATAAATATTGTCATTTTATTCGACAGTTCCAGCTATTTATTAAGCTGAGAACTAGTAAGCGACCGCACTCTATTAGATGGTGGTAGGGTAAAACGGTTGCTGAATGATTGTCAAAATCGCTTGCGAGTTTGTGATTTTCATAATAATTCAATTCCAACAAACAAAAGTTAACTTGGGTATAATGTAAGAGAAGGTTGGGGAGTCTTCACACTGCGCGTAAACGCGAGGCTGAAGTCGCAACTGAGTCGTTTTTTAGGGCTTCCATCAAACTTTAATACAGTATTAGAAACACAACTCAATAAAGATCTCCTTCCTAGAATGTTAGTTTTAGATATGCTAGCTATTTTATGCCCTTCTTTGACAAGATTATATACCGATTTCTCCAACGCGTCATTATAAAAAGAAATCACTTCAAGGCCTCAAGGTGTCAGCCGACGTTTCGCAAAGGAGTTAAGAAACGTCGGCTGACTATACGAGGCTTCTACAAAGTTCTTCCTATGCCCTTTGACAACTGTCGTGTTACAGGTACGCTGCATTACGTCAAACTAAAAATACGTAACAAAGTCCGTGGAAGGGAGTTCACTTGTCTTCAGCACAGCAACACCGCCAGACTCAATTTGTAAGCCTGCACGACAACCGCTCATTCAAGATGGCCTCCGCGAAATCTCAAGGAGGTGCTCAGCAATTTTGTCAAACCATTAGAGACGACAAAGACGCAAACTTGTAAACACATCTCCTGCAGCGCATGTTGTGACACGCTGCTGGCAAATTGCAGCTCGAGACATAATCAAGCACCAGGAGAAGTCTTGTTGGCGTGTCGCTTGCCTCCGGGACCAAAACGGTCTTGCCGAACTACATTCACGCACGCGGAGGGATACTCAGAAACACGCCCCGCGTATCATCCCGCACGGTTACAACACAAAACGAGAAGTGACACGTAGGAAAAAGAGGGAGAGAGGGGCCACTTCGTTTCCAATCATTTTTGTCGTAATCGGCAAATAAGCCGTTAGTCTGGATACCCGCAACGCAGGGTTACGCAATTCAGGAAACGTCCAATTTCAGAGTCGACCCGAGAGAATCGTGATGGATGGGATTCGACGAAAGAGAAATCGACCAATTTCTACCGCCGAGGCCCGCGGTAATTCAGCTATTCCGTTTATGCTTATTTCTGTCCAGCATTCGAGCGATCACGTATTGAAAGCTCTTAGACTAGGTGTGCACGCCATGACCGCTGTTAGTTACAAGATTTCAAAGCTGTCTTCTGTTCGCTATCAAATTATGCGAACTGTGTTGGCTGCAAGGGCCTAGTACTGGAAGAACGTTTGAATTTCGTTGCTTCTTCGCAGAAAAAGTTATTCAATGTCTGCAACCCTGTGTATTTCCCGCAAAAGGCGTATAACAAAGAGCTTACTATCACGTTTTGTTGCATAGCTATACGGCAAGAGGAATGTTTTTATCGAAATAGGGCAAACTGGTATTACAGAGTCGTGACTCGTGAGCATCGCCAGGAAAATTTTACACATCGAGCCCTGGTTTTATTGCGCGCGCATGTTATAAAACTTTCTCGGCACGAAAGAAGGCGCAGCCCACCGCCCGATTCGCGAGCTCACCTCTTATGATCCATCGATTCATCTACCGATTTCTTCGTGATTCGTCTTCGAAACTTAATTCGGCAACCGTAGACCGCAAAACACCCTACATGGACACCATACTGGCAACTACCGGCACCTACCATAATTGAGCTCTTTTATGAAATCATAGAAAAAGTACCATAATTGTTTTATGGCATCCACTTCGCAAAAGTTTGAAAGCGTAAACCCCTACCGTAACCGCAAAATACACGTAGAGGGGTCATTCAGAGCTCACAACTTCCAGTCGCAAACACGCTGTTTTCCATTATTAGCCTTGCCGACACCATTAGGCTCCCTCTAGCATTGATTAACAATCGAGAACACTAACAACTAATGGAAGCACGCACGAGGTTGCGCGCCAGCTCTCCGTCGACATAAAGGAGCCACTCTAATGACTTTGGCATACGCTTCGAGTCGGTATTTCATATACTGCCGGAGACCGCACCTTGTTCACTTACGGCGACGTCCTTTCACGCGTTTTGCCAAGTAGTTCATGCTAACAAGAAAGTGGAGACTTACAATTCTTCAGTATACCATCAACTACAATATACGAGTGCGAACAACTTTGAAAAAATCTTTCATTTTCCGAAGGTGCTGCTGGTTCAGAATAGGGCTGGAACGCGAACTTTCGGTTGAAATCTGAATTCTTTCAGGTCCAGAAATGATGTAGCTTGCAAAGATCGTAGGCGTCACGGAAGGTAACGCCAGGTCGCGTGTTACAAGAGCTCACATTGTCCGGAGAGGGGAGCTAACTCAATAAGAAGCGCAAGTTTGTCTGCTTCTTTTGCGGGGGCTGGGATGACGTCAGAACGCAAAGCTCTGATTGGCTCTGATTCAAGGATAGTGGGTAGACGTCAAGGCAGCTTGCTCTGATGTCTACCCACCATCCTTCTCTCAGAGCCAATCAGATCTCGGTGTCCTTTTGACGTCACCATAACTCCTGCACGAAAAGCAGACGACTTGCTCTCCGTATAGCACCTTGAAGACAAGGCTTCTGCCTTTCCTCGTCTGACGACATCACTGCAGTGGTTCCACGCAGCGCAACCTATCTCGCGTTCGCGTCGCCGCAAGCGCGTCTTGCAGCGTCCCACAACGAGCGTGATGCTAGAAGGCGGAGACGCCAAGACGCACGCGTCTGACGCATTGTCCCGTACGTAGTCTTGCCGAGCTCTGGCGTGTTTGTCGCTTGGGGCGGTTCGGGGGCCCACTAGCGATGACGGCATGCAAAGGCCTCGGCCATCGGGAGGGTATTTTGGATGGTCTTGGGGACGTAGATCCTCACCTGCGCTTTTTTGGCTTGCTGCTGGCGCGCCCTGGTGGAGATGCAGCGGGAGTTTTCGGGCGCCGACCGTCGATACGTCTTCAGCAGATCCAGCAGAAGCGTGACTCCGTCGTTAGGTTCGCTGACGAACTCCTCCACGAAGCTGAAGAGAGACAAAGAAAGAAAAAGAAGGAATCTTTACTTAAATTGACAACGAAGAACAGCATATGATTTGCCCGAAAACCATAGCCGGTTCTTTATTTGTGGGTTTGTTTCCTCAAACAACTACAAAACCGCGTAAAAAAAAGGCAACCTGCGTGTGTGTTGACATCGCTAATCTGGTTACAAAATTTGGGCTCCCACACTGATAGTTATACGTGAAGCAGGACACAATGCCGATTTTGTGTTTGCGTTAACTCGGTCCGACAACATACGATTTGCATCCAACCTTGCAGTGTAAACAGAAAATAAAAGCAACACGAGAAATGCTGACCATATTCATTACTATGAAAGGAGTTATATCTTTTGTATGTGCGTAACATGCACAATTACTACACATGGCAGAGGAGCGATCCATTCAAAGAAATATAACTGGTAAGTGAAATCCCAAAGACGGGATTTAACTTGCCTGGTGTATAGCATCTCTCTATACGCCCCCACCCCTCCCCTACCCTTCTAGAACCCCCCCCCCCCCTCCCCCAATAGAAAACATTGTTTTCGTTCCATTTATGTAGACCAAAAGTTAGATGCAGAGATGTGTATAAAAGATAATCAGTCAAAACAAAAAAAAAACTAGATTCATTGCTATCTTTATCTGTATTCAATGTGTTTTTTTAAGTTATAGTAAGGGCAAACATCGTGGAAAACATTATTTTAGCTTAATTCACGCAAGAAAGCAATTCAGTCTCAGAAGGAGGAGATCTGAATACATTTTTATTACCTTAACCAAAAGGGTTTACGTCGCTACGAATGTCTATTAACGTTTGTCTGACAAATTAAACTTCCCTTAGAGTCTAATTACCACCTTAGGAGCGTGAGCATGGTACTAAGAAGCTGTTCCAAGTGTAACACGTATATACCGCTTACATGCTCGACCTACGCTAGTTTACACCAAGAGACGAACAATATCAAAATATCCCAAGCCATTCGTATACAAAACACAACTTTTCGACAGTTCTTAACAAATCGAACGCGTGCAAACCCCGTTTCAGCAATTCAAAGCTGCCGCTTTTTCAACACACAAAAACACACACATACACACACGCGCAGATGTACATATTTATTTTGGCCAGCCACGCTCTCAGTCGGGTCCATGCCCGACAGCTGTTGTTAATAGCGGGACAGTAACCTAAATTTCTCGCCCTGTCCAGTTCCAAATGGGACCACTCCTAATTCTCGGTCCGTTCTTCATTAAGTACAACCGTACCCTCGGGGTGCCATATGAGCGGAGATGAAAAAAATAAAGAGATGCAAAAAGACGTGATTACTCATTTTGCCTTCCTTCATCGCAACGCCGCATTCTCCCCGCCGTCTCTCTATATCGCTTCCTGAAATCTCCAAACATCCCTTCTTGACTAACATTCACTCCCTCGCCCCAGGAACTTCGTACGGAACGAAAGCAAATTCCGCTGTTTTTTTTTTTTCTTCGTTTTTATTGTCATGGGGGCTTTGTCCATTTCACTCCGGGCTTTTCCTATATATACATTACAAGCATTCGTTTCCTCGTTGTCTCAAAGACACCGGAAACACTCGACGCACTACAGGACAATAATTAACGTCTTGGACCATTAACGTTCGATTCCCAACAGATGTCCAAGAGTAAAAAGAAACAGAAACAAAGGCACCCACACTTCGAACCATTAAGAAGGTTGAACGAAAAAACAAAAATGACTCGTTACATTGGCAGTTAAAGCGTTATCCCCTTTAATACAAACAAAATAAAAAGGAAGGGGGCACCACAATGACAAAGGCAACTCTCCGCTTTAACCTTCTTCCTCTCGTAAACAACATCCAGCTATTGTTGTCACTGCTGTTGTTCTAGAGAGGAGTGGCCTTAGGGAAAGGGAGCAAAAGGAGGAAGAGGAGGGGGAGGAGGGTAGAACAAAAGACAAAGCCTTCTTTTCCGTTCACTTCCTCGAGAGCCGGTGCCTGGTACGAAAAGTCGTTAATTTCAATTAGGAGCTTCAAAAAAACCTCCCGGTGTACGCCGAACAACTGCCAGTTCCGACAGTTCTGGTATGTCTTGGTGTGTACGTGTGAACTTCTCCAGGCGCGAGAATGGATGGTGACGAGCTGACACGCCTTCAAAGTCTAGCTGGGCCTGCCCAAGAAAGCTGTGCGGAAGTTAGACTGTACGTGGGAAACTCGGATGTACGTAAAGTGGACGTGCTTGTCTGCAGCAAGAATGCCTGTTGGTGCCTTTGAGTGGAGGCAGCGCCGGCTCTAACTAGTGAGAAAAAAGAGATAGCCGTACAATTTGCTGTTCTCAGTGCAGACAAACGTTCGGCGCCGGGTGTTCTCAAGGTACTTGCGAACCTCCAGATGCTGCATTCCGGAAAGGGAGGGTGGGACTTGCGCAAGCATAAACACGTCTGTTTTCTTGTATTAATCCAACAATTTTTTTTTTGGTTGTCCGATGTACGGTAATGTTCTTTTAAGTCTGAAAAAACTGAAAATGTATTCTTTGTGCAATGACCCGACACCCTCGTCTTCTCGGGGCCCCATGGGATATATACAAAGTGTTTATTTTTTAAGTCATAAGAGACTTGTTTAAACAAAAACCGGCGAATGCTACACAAATTCAGTCTATGCAGGTTATACGGCCAGGGATACGTAATACAGGAGAATAATCGTCACTATGAGCCAGTTAATTAACTGAAATGTTCTAATTTACGTTTTAATGATTGATGATAAATAGATGGTCCCAATCAGAAACTTGCTGTGCGTCATCGAAAATCACCAAATAAATACACCTGAGACAGATTCGGGGCACGTGGAAAGCGCGTTGGAGCACTGAAGTTACCACTGGCAGCTGGAGCCGTTTATACTGAGAGAGTTTGGCCAGTGGGCGGAGCTTGTTGCCCACTAGAACCAGCGGATTTTACGATAATACAAAATGGCGTTACTTTGTCGTCTTTATTCCTGAGAAATCGCATAGATTTCCTGAGTCGGAGCCCCGAAATGGCGGACGGAAGTAGTCATCCCCCGGTTGTCAGACCACGCTGCTGCGGTTGCCAGGATGTCAAAATTTCCTTAAGAAGGCCAAACTCTCTCAGTATAAACGGGTCTGACCACTCGTGCAATGGGCGCAAGGCTGATGGAGTGAAAACGCGCTCGCCCAGCATTGCGCCCGTTATGTAACCTTGGCGCACAGCGGCGCGTCCTGCTCACCCCAAATCTTTCTCAAATTTACTTATTTAGTCGTTTTCGATGACGCTCAGAAAGTTCCTGGTTGAAACCATCCAGAAGAGGCCAGGAGTGAACAAAGAATTGCAGTCGTGCCTTATATGCACAAGACGGCGCATAACCTAAAAGAAATAGCAAGCCGCATAAATACTAAGGTGGTCGTTTTCGATGATGCTCAGCAAGTTCCTGGTTGAAACCATACGTTCATTTTCAATAATTGAAAAGCTTCTTGACACATTTAAGTTAATCGTTTGGCTTATCGTGAGGATTAGCCCCCTATAATATGTTGCCTTGGCAGTACGAATTACCTGGACAAACCACACTAGTGTAGCTTTCAGGGAGTCCACGACCAAATCTGTAAAGCCTAAGAAAAACCTGTATGTCTAGTGACACAACGACTATAGTTCAGATTTGAAGCTGGAATTAGCAGCATTCCTTTCTATCTAGCACTAAGCATAGTTGAGACATAGAAGAAAAAAACTGTACGTCAAATCGTACTTCATATGACATATGGCTCTCAGGGCTGTGATCTCTTGTCCTCAAGGTGTTAGCCATAACTGCAAGAAACTATACAAGAACCCGGTATAAAAATCAAAGGAAAAATGTTGACGGCTATGTTTACCTAATGCGGTGTTTATAAGCAGCGATCGATTGAATTGCTTTAGAGACATTAAAGAGTCGTTTGGGGAGTGAAAAACCTGTATTTTTATGGACTTCCCCTCTAAATTTGGCAGGGAAAATGACTTGGTATAACAGTCACGTGACAACACTTTTCCCACTAAATTTAACGGAAAACTATGCTACCATCTAAAACAGTGGCGCTAGATGACCCCACCTCGTTTCATTTTGCTATAACTTCCTATTTCAGCTAATGGGCCGCCTTATTAATTTTGTTGGTGTGGCACTTACATCAACCTTTCCCCGCCACTTCATTGTCATTTCATTTTTCGTTGTTTCTGTTCTTAATGGGTCAGCACTGTAAGCTGCCAACCACAATTTTGCTGTTTTCGTTGTTGATTTTTCTTTTTTATTAGGCGTCAGCACTGATAGGTGCCATCCACCAATAAACGTGGTGTTTCTTACAATATTTTTACATGAACAGTGCACAGTTCCCTCTCCCTCCCCCCTTATGTAATACCCTCGAAAGAGGGACCTCTAAGGATATAATAAATGAGTGAAAGAATGGTGTATAGGTGACGTCACATAATTTTTTCCGCTCAATTTAGCGGGCAATGCCCGTACGCAAGGACGGAGAGCCAACCCTTTGATATTGGGGGGGTTGGGGGGGGGGGGGGGTTCCATTAAAAAGCATTTCATCTTCTAACAACATATAACTTGCAGTCGATGGACGGTGAGCGACGACCCTGCCCTCTTCCGTCCGACGAAATGGACGGTGGTCGCTCGTCAGTTGTACCCCGAAAGTCATGAACAAAGTTCCTCGATATATACAAAGCCGGAATACAGATGGTGACAACTAACAGGCAGGACGAGGAAAATTTAGTGAAGGACATGGCAGCTTGCAGTTTATTTTCCTGCTACCTTGACTTATGTCCTTCCTATTGTCTGCATCGGCCCGCCAGCCGGTGCCGCCAGGTTTGTTACTACCCTTAAGAAGTACAGGGAGTGCCTATTGTTTACGCACCAGTCACTTCAGAATTTCAACGGCCACTAACAGCCTTCTTTTTTTTTTTTCTTTTTGAAGGGAGCTTAATTGGTTAAATGAAAGAACCGATTAAAACGAGATGCAACGGTCCTCAA